GTTAATTTCCACCTTTGCTTATGCAGGAGTAATCCTCCCCCCCACTGATGCCCCGCCCGCCCCTCCACAGAGCTGAAAGGTTTATCTGAGGCCTGGGCACATCTCCTTGGGGGAGTGCAGACTCCAAGACGCTGCCGGTTATCGGCAGGAGCCGCAGTGAATGGGATTTGCAGGAGCCAGATTGTTATTCATCGCGTTAGGACGGCTATCTCCATATTAGCGAAGTCCGTGGGTCCGATCCAAACGGGGGGGGGGGGGGGGGGGCGGTCTGTATCTGGCTGTCCAGGACAGCCGTGTGATGATGGCTACCCAAAAAAGGCTTTCTGAATACTCCTGCCAGTGTTTCACAATCATGCTTTAGGGAGCCGCAGTGGATCAGCTTCACTGCACCTCCTGTGTAACGAGTCTCCGTACATTTACATATTTAGCAGACACAGACGTCCAAAGCAACATATAAGTGAGGCAAATAGCACATTGCAAACATACATGCAGTTAAGGAGTCAACTAAACATAAACGCAGCTAGGGTGGGCTTCCAGTGGATCCCCAGGTACACAACAGCAACTTCCAAAAAAGCAAGAAGTTATTCAGACTGTTCAAGGACCAGAAGTGCAACATAACATTCAGGGATTTCCAGTCCTGCTGTGTGTGTTTGGAGTTGCACACTCTCCTTATGACACAAGGATTCCCTGCTGCAGTCCAAAGACACGCAGTTAGGTTAACTGGGGCCTCAAAATTACTTGCAGTGAATGATTGTGTAAGTGTGTGTCTGTCTGTGTTAGTGTCCTGCAGTGAGCTAGAATCCCATACAGGAAGGTCCCTGCCTGGTGTTTCTAAGCAGTCAGAAGATGGATGGATGGATGGATGGATGGATGGATGGGTAAAAATAAATAAGAACATAAGAAGAACTATACAAACGAGAGGAGGCCATTCGGCCCATCGAGCTCGCTTGGGTAGAATTATATGAAGTGAATGCATAATTGTTTCTTTTAATAATATTTCTGGTTCTCTGTAAGAATTATGGGTCCCCTTCTAAAGTGTTGGAATATTGCAGAATATAGACCTGGCTGTCAGCTGCTTAACACTTTACCTGTATTCATTATACATACATGCATAAATTTTAGTTATTACACAAGAATTCACAAGCAGATGCTTGTTCACTCTGACAGCCTTTGTCCTTAACCCAAACAAGCCATTAGTGGCACGCAGGATTAAAATGCACTGATATTCCTACTAAACGGAGCTAGAACAGCATGTCTGCCGTGAAAGGGGGACTCCGGCGCACTGACGAAAATATCCGGGTCTGCACAGGCTTCCTGGGTCACTGCCATGTGGCATCTACAGTGAGGCATGCAGGCAAGTGCCAGAATACCTCCCAGGGAGCGGAGATGGCAGACACACACAGACACGCGCGCGGAAACACAGTGACACGCACATACACACACACGCGCAGAAACAGAGAGACGCGCACACACACGCACACGCGCAGAAACACAGTGACACGCACATACACACACGCGCGCAGAAACAGAGAGACACGCACACACACAGAAACACAGAGACACACACAGACACGCGCGCGGAAACACAGTGACTCGCACATACACACACGCGCGCAGAAACAGAGAGACACACACGCACACGCACGCACACGCGCAGAAACAGAGACACGCACACACACACAGAAACACAGAGACGCACACACACACAGAAACACAGAGACACACACACACACACATGAGCGGAAACAGAGAGACACGAACACACACACAGAAACACAGACACACGCAGAAAAACACACACGCACACACACACACAAACAGAGAGACACGCACACACACGCACACGCGTAGAAACAGAGAGACACGCACACACACACAGAAACACAGAGAGACACGCACACACACGCAGAAACACAGAGAGACACACACACATAGAGACAACCTTAACCCTGAGTAACCAAACAAAATACAAGACTTTTTACATTAGTTTATTGATTGCATTGGATTTTTATAAAATTTCACCTTGTGGCAGCTGAAAAAATAATCTGCCAACATAAACATAAACAGGTTTTTATCACATTTGGTCCCCACAATGTAATGTATACCTGGACCACCCACCCACACACACACACACACACACACACATACAGAAACATACACACAATACAAACAAAACATTTATTCCACTTCAAACCATTATCAAATTTTACCATATCTAAATGTACCTACAACTAAACAAATAACCTCACCGGAAAGTTCCTAATACCCCATTTCCTATTAACAACACTGAAAGGCAGTTAAAATAAGATTACCAGATATGTCAAACAATACAGTATGAAAAGTTAAAATTAGACCACTAGAACAGACTATAGTAAACCAATGCAGTATAGAAAGATAGTTAAAATGAGACTACTAGAGCTGACTAAAGATGCCAATACAATATAGAAAACAGACGAAAACTAGAACTGGCTGAAGTGACAACTGTTTTATCCTTCGAAATATATTGGTAATTTAGTTATTCTGTGTTACACGCTCGTGTTACTAGCATTTCGTCTGTAAAACCTTACACAGTTCACCACTTCTGCACCCTTGCCCGTCTAGTTTGTCACAACCTACATCTTTACCTGGCATGTCATCCCAGCTCCGCGCTTACCTTCTTGCACTCATAACCCTCTCGGATGATTTCAGGCCTTCCCGTACAGCACCGGCCCAGCCTCTAGGCAGAAATTCTTTCCATTAGCTAATAACAAGCAGCAAGAGAGTATTCCACTTGTGTGGTGGTGGAATTTGAGCAAATTGTCCTAGTTTGCTACAACGAAGATTTGTTATTTTTAAACTCCTAAGTACTTGAGTCCTACTGAGTTTCCCCCCCCCATTGTCTAAGCAGGAAAGTTTGCAGAAGGCTACTTAAAACAAATCCCGTCAGGCCCCTCAGACCCCTAATGGTTACTCTTTGTCTTCTTGAACAGAATATACTCTGTTCTGACAGCAGTAACAACCACTCAGGCGAATCACATCCTTGGCATTCAAATGCACTATAACTGATCTGCTTACTTTTCCAGTGCATTATATTACATCGAGATTTTTTTTTAATACAAGGTCACAAGACAGGGATGGGGATTATTTTTTTTTCCACATCTTTTCCCAGAGAGAAAACTTTTAGCACACAAGCAGGGGGGAATTCG